TCTTTATCTTTATCTTTATCTTTATCTTTATCTTTATCTTTATCTTTATCTTTATCTTTATCTTTATCTTTATCTTTATCTTTATCTTTATTCTTCGATATACTTCGATAATCACGATCGCCTAGAGATTTTTCAGAAATATTATACATAAAGAACTTTGAATTTGCTTTAAGAGTGGCTACTTTTCTAAGACACTGTTTTTTTATTTTATTTTAAGTTTTAGTTAAAACACGATTTTTAGCCACAACACAAAAAATGGTGGTGGACTTCACTAAAGTGACGACTAGTTGTAGTATAGATAAATTATTCAAATATGCACATCTTTTAAAATTCTTGAATTTTCTCAAAGCTTTGACTGAAGTTTTCTTAAGTAAAGGACCACGTCATGGCACTCAGCTCACCTGATTCTTCGCTAAATATTCCACCGTCATTTTCATTACATTAAAAATCCATTGAGATAGCGAGCGATTATACTACAGGGTGTTTATTTATGACCATATGCATATATAAGTAGTAAACTCATAACTTTCATCCGTTGTGCCGAACGCGGAGTCAGCATGCATACATATTAACATTAAAACAGCGGTTGTATACGGATTAAGCTTCCTTAACCGCCTGCGGTCAAGCACACACGCACACATACATCGGAAGGATAATTCTTAATAAGTACGCAAATGTGCAAATGTATGTGCAGACCGAAATGTATCCACTCACACAGACACCCATGCACCTGCTCTGGTATGCGCATAAAATCGAAATTCAGTGCAATTCTGTCGATACTGATTCTGCTGAGCCACACAGAGCTGCTGCTGTTGACCACGCAGCCCTAGATTTGCGGCCGACGCAGTCTCAATAGCGTTGCACTGCCCGGTCCATCGCAATGCCAAGTGCACCGAATTGTGCGCATTGAGCGAGTGCTGCCTCATTTAATGCTTGTGGCTACAACGATTACTTCCTGCATTGCTTTTCACCATTTATGTGCTTACCCATGTGTACGTGTGTGTGTGTGTTGCTGCTGCCGGTATTTGTGGCTACTTTGTTGCTGATGTATACACAAGTGTTGTCACTGTCAGGAGTGTGTGGCATTGTGGTTTTCGGAAAGTGTTGTTGCCATTCTTGTAGTTGCTTTTGTTGTGTGTGTTTGGTTTTTGTCAAGAAACACTTATCGATTTGTTGAGATTACTCGAAAATTCTGTTGTTATGCATAGTGTCGGTTGACACAACAACTGTTGCTGCAGCTGTTGTGGTGATCCGAAGGCGTTGCTCATAAATAAAAACGGCTTCGATAGTGCTACGTGCATTGAAATGCAGGTTTTGTGTCCAGCTGGTGTGTTGACACATTTTTTTTTGAGAAAATTCCAGGAACTGGTGCCTCAACTGGTCCAGAGTGGTGTAAGATTTTATATGTTAACGTGCTGTGAGGCAGCGGGCAGATACTCCTGAAGGAAGGTAGTTTTTTTTTTTTCAAATTTCATGGGGAATGTTTATTATTCGAAAGAATATGCTTTGGGATTTTTTTATTTTTAAGATTTCAAATATTGACCGTGGCTACTTTTCAGATGGTCCAGCAGCTGAGTTCAATTTTCGATGACTCGTGCAAGTAGTAATGGCGAATTTTGTTTATGTTTATGGGCAGTCGACTGGTCCAAAACTTGAAATTATCTGTTTACGGAAGTGTTCTCTCAATAGCTACTTTGATTGACGCGATGTGTGGGATGTGGCGCCGTGTTGTTGAAACCAAAAATCGCCGAGATCACGAGCTTCAATTTCAGGCGTTAACGGTCGGTCATTGACGGTTACGTTCTCACTGGCATACCATAATTTTGAAGAAATATGGATAGGTGATTCCATCGGTCCAAAAACCACAGCAAACCTTTGTTTTTTCCGGATGATCCTTGAATCTCTTCAGTTTGCTTTTCGACTTAAATGTGGTAATTTTGCTTACTGGCTCAATGGGTATGGAGCCAGAAATGGTCCTGGCTGAACAAAATTTGACTCGAAAGCGTCGGATTTTCTTCGAACTTTTAAAGAGCCCATCGAACGGCTTCAGTTCTTGAACAAACTGTTTTTGTACGCTTTCAATTTACGATCTCGAAGTAAAATGCGCCAAGTAGTTCCATACGAGTTGCTGCGAACGGCGCCGAATGGACTGCCCACGGTCCTCGTATACACTATCTACACGATCTATTGGCTCGAATATTATTCAATAATGAATGCCGGGTCTCAGGATGGGTGCTGGTGTTGCGAATACTACGTTCAGTATACTGATTATCGCTTTTCTTTTTTCAAAATGCCTGTAGATCATTTTCAGGTTACAGAGTCTACTGTATTGACTGTCTGCAGTAATGCAATTTAGTTACAATAAGCACGTTTTCTCATTATTTCCTAATAAATATGACACCTGGCATTCTAAAAACAATTTGACTCCACACAAAATAACTTCCTGAATATTTTCCTTGCATTACGTTCTGCCACAGCGGATATAACATCAAATAAGAATTATTCACTAATCTCAAAAGCATGCGCGGTTTCATTTTGCAAATCCACTTGAATTTCAATTCGAAAAGCATTTAGCAGCGCTTCGGTTGTGTTCAATTGAATTTCGTTTAACGCTTGATGGCGACTGAGCGCATTTCACGTTTTCTTTTGCAGCTTTCCTAATGTAATAGAACCCCTTACGCGATACGATGCTGCACGAGAAAAAAGCTACTTGGGTTTAAAAATGCTCTTGTTTACGTTTGGAAGCAGTTTGTTCACTCTGCCTCACGTACTACTTCTCGCATTGCGACTGTTATGTCTGCTATTTTTTCCGTTCTCCACGCCTGACAATTATTTTGTTGTAATATTATGCACTTGGAAACTTTTACACTTTTGGCGAAATACCGCTTCTCTGACTATAAATACACTTCACTTTGTTGTCCGTTTCTTAAGACTTAATATTTTGTGGTATTGAAACGATAAGAATATCTTGCAGACAATATAACAAGAAGAGCATACTACAAGCGTGATACTTATCAGAGGAGGACCATAGCCGAGAGGTTCAGTAAAAACTTTCGAGAGATTACGTAAATTTATGTTCGACAAAAAAAAATATTAATCCACGAATCGGACAATAATTTTTTTGTTGAAGAAGCCTAATGGTCTCATGATCTCGTCATTTTGAAAAATGATTTCCATTTTCCGAATAAATCTACCGTGCGATGATCTCACGAGTTTTGAGTCAAAGAAAGAAGTCAAGTTAATTTTAATCAATATCTTCCAAGGAGCTTGAAAGGGGAAAATGTAGGGCCTAGTAAAAAGATCATCTTTATTTTTCCAAAGGATAGTTTTAGTAATTTGTATCTTTTGTTGTAGAAGAACGATCTTAATGGTATTGGAAAGAGTTTATGGTTCACTTTTGTCGAATTCCTTCTGGTAATTTTGATGTCAAATATCACCACGCTTTCGAAAATATCGTTTAAATACAGAAAGTCGTCAAATATAAAAGTCGTTGTACAAAAAACCGTTTGAAACCATTTAAAATATGTAGATCGGTTGTAAAACGAAACTCTATGTATGGAGAGAAAAATATCTTTATTTATCTATACAGATCGTTAGTGACCCTCCAAAATCGCTGAGAACGTGGTAAGGAGGTTCTTATGCATCCACGTTAGAGGCGGGACCTGGCACCAAGTGATTACTAACTGTTCCTGTCTACGTGGAATGATTTCGTTGATGTAAAAATCGTCCAATTAAAGATCACAGTGTTTACCAATTGCGACGAGTGTTTCTACGAGACTAACATTATGAAATAACTTTAAAAATTTTTAAATGTTAACGAATAAAGCCTTCAGTTTAATACAAATGGGAATTATTTTTTTTTGAACCCCATCGTTACCTATGTAAGTAGATGTAGTCTGATGAGCCCATGCTCAGGGTTTTTGTCGACGTCAGTTGCTGATCGTTGTGTGATTCCATGTCGTTTTGTTGCCTCTCTCTCGTGGGTAGGTTCACGGTCGGTGCAATCCCGGTGGAGGTTGTCGTCGCTTCTTTAATTTGTTCGTTTCTTCGAAGAAGGTTCATTGGACGCATGAGGCATTTTGAACTAAGAGCTCATCTCATGCAGCTCTTGGTTGGGGGCTGCGTATAACTATTTTCAGCTAACATGCTTAGCATAGGCCATCCGCTATCTCCCAACTGTAACCCCGATAGTAGAGTGAGTTCAGCTTTATTGTATTTATAACAGTTTCTTTTCGATTCGCCACTTTCCAAGGTTTAACAAATTTATGTTAACCATACTTCTGCCTCGACTTAATTTTTTAAAATGTTGAATTTTCGTTATCATTGAACATTTAATTTTACTTTCAGAGTCTTGGTTTCCCAATGGCGTCGTTGGTCGCCTACAATCGCACCGTCGCGGAATTACGTTATCTGCGCGGCAGCATTTGCCCCACGGACAACAAAACGGAACTCTCCTCCAGCCTTATATTCAACTGTGATATGCGTGCCGGTCGGGTAAGCACTTCTATTTTACAACAACTGTACTCATATTGACACTTACATAAATATACATATAATACATAAAAAGCAAATGCAAACGATATTGTAGCGTGCTGATTAAAAGTTCAGCAATTTGTCGGCATTTCGTTAAGTATGGCAGTTTTTAATTATACTTGTAATCGCTTTTCACCACAATTAAGTCCAGCATGCGTTGGTGTTAACTCATGCGTCATTTAACAACGTTTAATGACCGCTTCTCGATATAGCAGACGATATACCAGCAGTGGTAAAGGGCAATTATTGACAATGCAATAGTTTGGCCTCTATTATGGCTTATATCCTACAGGCATATTTATATTTCATTCATATGTGTGTGTGAAGCTTTATTTAAATGAAGAAACATGTTTGTGTGGCTGGGAGATCGGAAATTCAAAGAGCTGGAAGTGCGTGAATACCAATCAGTTAATTGTTGCGTGACCCCGAATCAGTTATGCTCTGGATTTGGTATTTAATAGAATCTGGGTTAGATGAGAGTACTTTTTGGAAATATCTAAGAAGCGCTTAAAATTTTCAATTCCTTGGTGCAACTGAACTTAGATAAGTTCAATAAGTACTTTTTACTTTTTTTAAAGAAAAAAACACAGAAACTTCGAATTTAACGGAGAATATTTATTACCATTCGAAAGGCTATTCTTTGACTTTAGTTATTGAAGATTATCTATTTCAAATACGTCTACGTCTCAGATGGTCCATTTTGCGATGACTCATTGGAGCATTTTGACTGGTAACTGGCGAATGACATGCGTGATGGTTTGCCCCAAGTCTCGAATCGTAGCGGGATTGTCTGCATAGACTTCACACTATACGTCTTCCCACAGAAAAAAGTCTAATGGTAGGAAATCACACGATCTTGATGGACAATCGACTAGCCAAAACGTGAAATTATCATCATCATCATCATCGAAGTGTTTTCTCAATAAATCTATTGAGTGATGCGATGTGTGGGAAGTGGAGACGTCTTGTTTAAACCAAAGTCGCCGAGATCACATTTCCAAGTTTAGGCATCAAATAGTTGGTTATCATGGCGCGGTAACTGTTGCTATTGACGATTATGTTCTCACTGGCATCATTTTGGAAGAAATATAGACCGAGGTTTCCACCGGCCTACAAAACACACCAAAGCGTTGTGTTTTCTGGATGAAATCATAGCTTTTGAATTTCTTCAGGTTGCTCTTGTTCCCAAATGCGTTTTTTTGTTTGTTTAAATACCCATTGAGTAAGAAATGTCTCTCATCACTGTACAAAGTTTGATCGAACTTTTTAAAAGTCCATAGATCGAAGCGATGTCGCTTGGGAAGATTGAGAGGCTTTAGTTCTTGCACAAGCCGTATTTTGTAAGCTTTCAATTCAAGATCTCGAAGTAAAATGCGCCAAGTCGTTCCATACATTACTGCGAGTTGCTGCGAAACGAGCCGAATCGTTTCTCCACGGTCTTCGTGTACGGCTCTGTTACGGCTGCTATCTATTCTTCACTGCATGTTGCACGTGATCTATTTGATCGAATGATTCGGTATCAAAACAAGTTCTCGTACTCGGTACTCACATCCGAAATTAGTTCTCTCGCTTTTATGATACTTTCAACTAACTAACTGGACTAATCTAGTGACTGCCACTATGACTGTGTCTAAAAAGGGACCAATATTGAACGACTATTCTGAGAAACAATAGTTGTATCTTTGTGGCTTGCTCGAATCATCGCTAAATATGACACAGATCTATTGCCTGTACAGAGTTCGACATTTATGGATATCGATAGAAATTTAAACAGTTAATTACTCAATATACTTAGTGAGCAGGAAATCATTTTCAGACAGTGCTTTCACTTTAATCCATCGTAACAGTGGGCTCGACGCAGTAACTGCACTATTCATATCAACATGTAATTGTTTGTGGAATTACTTAGTGACATGCCGATTCCCTTTGACCCGGCTCAGTCATGTGGTCTGAACATTAATGTGTCTGCCAATCAATTTCAGCGACCGCTCACATTTGTATATATTCCTACGTGTGTGTGTGTGTGCGCATGTCACGGCTCAGCAATTGTTTGCCGATATTATTGTTATTAATGTTGCTATGGAATGTTGCCGCAGGTGGTATTGCAATTGGCCGTAATGTCGATAATGTGACTGCACCTTACTCAATTGTGGCATGGGCAGCACTGCTATTGCAGACGGCATCGCACTGATTGTTATTGGTGTGGGTTTTTATTGCATTTGGTTGCCGTTGTGATTATGGCAACTGTTGATTTGTAATTGTAATTTAATATAGTAACACCCATTTCATTCGCTTTTCCCTTTATGACCATAACAGCGGTTTGTTTGCTTGCTGGTCAGCCGTCGAGGCACCCGTTGATCGATCAACTGCTGGCATTTCTTGTGCGCCGCTTTGTGTTTGTGTGCGTGTGCCTTGCAATGCAGTGACCTCTGCAGTTATGAAACGCTGTTGACGTTCTCAATTGTTATGTAACGATTTTGTGGTCGGCGTTGAGTGTGAAGCAGGCATATGCAAAGGGCTCCAACATTTGCAACATATGGACATGCACATGTGTGCGCGTGTATGTGTCTCCGCAGTTAAATTGTGTACGCTGCTATTTGCACTCATAATTGTCAGCTTAAAGATGTTTACATTTATTTGCGCTCTTTTTCGTGCCACTTGTGCTTTAAAAGAACAAAGCGAATGAATAAATAAACATAAAATACGCACAGGTTTAAAAATATAAGATTTTGTTGTAAAGTGAAAATTTTTAGTTGCATTTTTTAAATGAGAAATTATGTAATTTTTAAAAAATTAGGGTCTAGATACTTTCTTTCCCCGGGCAATAAGCCTTGGATATTTTAATTGTAATTAAAAACCGACTTGATGTCACAATCTGAGTATAACCATACTTGGATATAAGGAGCATCTTATATTTTAATCCTCCATAGCCTTTTCACGCAGTTAAATTAATTTAGTACATTCAGATTATAATTAAGAAACCAGTTTTTGGCTTTTGCACAGCCGTCTACTCGATTAACGATATGTTCGATTAAACATCAGCTGTTATACTTCCTTGTGGTCCTCATTTTGCTTAGTTTCTAATGCTTAAAATTTAACAGCTGATGTTATTTTATCAATGCACACAACCAAGTCTGGACAACAACCCGAATAGTTACATTTCATTTTCAACTCGATTTCAATTTAATTAAGAATTAATGTAGTAAAATAAGACATATATTTGGTATGACAAAGCTATCTAAATTGGCGCTTTAATTAAGCAAAGGTCGGTTCATTGTTCAATTAATTTCTGTGCGAAGAGACTGTCAGTCATTATTGCTTTGAGTGGGTGCTTCAAGCTTCGATTAGTAAATTTGAAGCAAGAGCTATGCAGGGTTATCATCTTGTACTCTGAGTAACTTAGGAAAAACTAAAACCACGGCCACTTAAGGGGCTGGAATCATGCCAGCAGTTGGGGCACTTTTTTGGCACCTCCGAAGACAGCCCATTATTTTTCAACATTTTTGTAAAAAAAAAAAAAATCATAAAATATAGCTGTAAATATACCCTATTACGGTCAAAGAAGTTCGAAACATTCAATTGCGTACCTTGTCTTAAAAAAATTCATGGAAATCATCACACTGGTATAGCCCCTTAAAGCGGCTCTCGATAATGAAACTTTTTTTACCTACTTTTATTAGTATGTGCTTAACTATATAATCATTTGAAAGAATGTAATTTGAGACGTTTATCTTAACGTCCATAAATTAGCTAAGTTGCCAGAAAGATCGAGGAAAATGCTTTGAAAAAATCCAAATGATATATTTCACCCAGACTGATAAAAAAATGAAGTATTTTAATACAAATCTTTATTATCGTTTACTCAAAAAAATCCAGAGAAAATACAAGCATGCTAACGCTTAATAAAATTTTCTCTACACTTGTCTACGCCTCGGTAGGAATGATCTTCAATGCCTTCATTTTGGCTTTCAGCTCAAAAACCAATGATGGATTATTAGTACGAATGTCGCTAACTCAAGAAAGTGCAATAAAAATATTTCAAGAATATTCCGAAGTCATATTTCAAGTAAATTGGCAGATTAGCACTTGATATATTGTGGCAGTTGTATCGAACAAAGTGGTTTCGATAAACCCCGTTTTAAGTTTCGTTCACAGCTCAAACCGGCCAAGTCGCCACCACACTAAATCGGCTATAACTTCGGAAATAATTTGAAATTTTGAACATCCTTTTAGGGAGATATTTTTGAATATGTAAACAATAGAATTAAAAAAAAAAACACCGAAATTTTAAAGTTTGTCTACGAGAATACCTGTCATGAATTATTTTAAAATTTAGTCCACTTATTAGTAAGAATTTACTTAATTCGGTACTTGATTAAAAATAAAAAAATATAGCTTAAAATTATTGGCTTATTTGCTGTTACTAATGGGTGATTCATCTGGAGGTACTTTTTTCAATAGCCAAGACGATGCGACATTCAGTGATGAGGCTCATTTTTGGCTCAATGGGTGTGTAAACAAGAAAACTTTGTGACGAAGACCTGAAGCGATTCAAGAGTTGCCAATTTACCCTGAAAAAACACCGGTGAAATCATCGGATCATATTTCTTCAAAAATTATGCCGGTGAGAACGTAATCGTCAATGGTGACTTGTATCGCGCCATGATAGATGGATTTATTTGCAGAACACTTCGGTGAGCAGAAAATTTCTTTTTAAGGCCGATTGATATGCCGCGAAGATTGTGTGTGCCACACCCTTAGACTTTTTCCCGTGGAGATATGTCTATGCGGACAAACCCGATTCGATGCAGGCCTTGTAGTAAAACATCACGCCTGTCATTCGCAAGTTCGAACGAGTCATCGAAAATTGGACATAACGAATGGATCATCCAAAGAATGTTCTTTCGAGTGACAATAAATATTTCCCGTTAAATTTAAAATTTCATGTGTTGTTTCTATAAAAAAGAAGTAAATCTCGAAATGGATCACTCTTTACACTATGACCAAAAAAATATATATTCTCTACTAAAAGTCCGGTCGTCTATCTTTATTTTAAAATAATTTGAAGTGCCTATTTCTTCATTTTTATATAAATTTTTGTTTATTTCATTGCAGGGCAAACTAATTCTACAGGCAATTATCGATTGTCATTACGAATTCCAGTGGACGACCAACGTCATATGTCCCTCACATATGTGCGCTTTTAATGAGGAGACTTGCGAAATAATTAACAACGATATTAATTTCAATTACGAACTGAAAAAGGCGCCTTTCGCTGACGCTGGTCAAATAAAGGTTAGCCAATTTGTGCACTTACGGTTATTTTTGAGTGATAGTTGAGTTTTATTATAATTAATTGTTATTAAAATATTGCTGATGACATTTTATTTGTGTACTTTCATTAGATTCCCAATGGAAAAGATGAGTTTACACTCAACATTTGTGGAAACCATCGCAAAGCTGAAACTGATTACTCTCAGGGTTTKGTGAATTTGTTCTTCACTACAGAAGCGCCATGCGGTGAGTGGAATAAACATTTATTATTATTTATTACAACAGTTGTAAATAAATAGGAAGGGTATTTATTTAAATTATTCTATATTATTCATGCGACATATTTCATAGAAAGCTGTGCGTGACAGATTTGGTGAATTGAAAGTTTTTGGTTAGTTTTTCCATCCAACTAGTACAAGTTATTCCCAACATCCAACTAAATAGGTAATCGAGACAGAAAGGCCCCAAATCTTTTTAATTAATATTATTTATTAATTTATAAATAATTTTTATTTATGCAATACAATTTCCGGTTGCCTGTTTTTTAACATTTGGTTGTGTTTAAAACTTTTAAACCACTTTTCGGTTAAAAGTACCCAGCCAGTGACTAATGAAAATGATCTATTATTCTATGTCTGCATTTAGTTAAGATTAACTCACTTCCAAATCCAAAACAGTTTCATTTATTTACCGCAACGTAGCTGCCAGATTTTTGTATTCGCTTTGCGAACATTCGCCGGCAGTCCGTCTGTGGAGTCAAGTGTATTTAACGTTTAATCGCTATTCCGTTACTTTTTCACATTTTACGTATGTGCCACTTACTCGTCTGCTTATATATAAGTATAATCTGTAAATCACATTAGAATTGGCAATTGTCCCGTTGCGCTTGTTTTGTCTTTCACGCTTATCTCGCTATTTCGCGCTTTGGCTTCCCCTACGGATATTATCGCGACTCATCCTAACTGCCATGCCAGCTTATATAAATAGCAGCACTTTCGCTAAATGTTGGCTGGCAAGTGAAATAAAGGGTGCTTTGACGTGAATTAAGAACGAGTAGTAAGAAATAAGAGAAAACTTCTAAAACAGTTATAAAGACTATTGCGGAAGTCCCTAAGTCTTAAGTAGGATCAAATGGTCAGATGCCTAGATTTTTTTCTGAACTGTTCAGCTTTTGCTAGACTGAATTTATGACATCATAGTGGACCCATTTTCATCGAACTTAACGACTTGAACTTAACAGCGCTGCCAATTTTGTGATTTTCAAGCACTGAAGGCATTCTCTGGAGAAGTGAGTAGAATGCTTGAATTCCCAAAAGAAATGCACGGGGACCACATCTGGGCTGTAGGGCGGCTGCGGAAGCGTTGGGATGCCGGCCTTGGTTAGGGAGCTGTTCGTGGTGCAACTTCCAATCGGCTGCGATGTTTTATCAGCCCATTAAAAGGTTCTGAAGCCCCCGAAACACATCCTTCTTGCTAAAGGAACAGCTGGGTAAGCCTGCTTGATATTAAACGTCTCCGTCGTAGATTTGCCGAGTTTGACACAGAATTTAACGAACGATCGCTGCATTTTCGGCTTGCACCACTCACAGAAACACGTCGCGTGAAAATTTTTGTCCTGATTCTTCATATGCTCGGAGATAACTGACCAGCCGCTCGTTCGTTAACTAGGAACGCCCTCTACCGAATCCAGACGGTGCTCGCACGCTCCGAAGAACAATGCTTTGTCGATTTATAATGGTCTGATGATCTATATCTAGGGAAATCACAAAAGACCAGTTTGCACAGCGTGGGAGGAGCGTCAAGTGGGACCATCTGTTACCTTTGCTACAACGTTCTGTCCTGTGACCGGACCTTACCTAACCTAGATGCTTTGCAACTTTCTAAGCGAATGTTTTTTCCAACACTGTATACTTTTTTGAAGGTTTTCTTGATTATGGCTTTCTAAATGGTTGAATTGCATATGTTGGGGTTGCATGTTGAGTTTCTTTGACTTTCTGGATGAAGGAAAAAATCATATAATTTTGATAGAAAAATATCTCATGTTTGAAGAGAAGTTTTCTTTAAAAGTTTTTTTTTATATTAAACATCAATATTTTTAATTTTTTTAAATCAACTTCCTTCCTATTGAAACACCATGTGCTCCAACACACGCATGCATCCACTTTTTATTGAGCTTTAAATAAAACCGTGTTGCGAAGCGTTTTCTTGCATATGGAAGCCGGATGAGTGCATCGTCTTACTTCCGTTTTTTCCGCGTCTCACTTTGCACTGTTCCAGGTCGCATCCTTGTTTGCAGTGCGATTTTGTTTTTGCTCCCATTGCAAGCTATGCCAACAGCGCTTTATTCTCTGCCATATGCACTGCAGCTTTGCGCTCGCTTAGCTCCATTGCTGCTGTTGCAGCACTGCAGCTCGGCGCGGCTCGGTAAGCGGCATGTCAGTGTCGCTGTTTATTCTGCAAACCAATGCCAAACATACATACATCTTACCGTTTTTTTCGCTCACCTTTTTGCAACATCGTTTGGAAAAACCAATACAAGAAAGTACCGAAAGCAGCAGGAATTTAAAAAGGAAATCCACCAGATAATGGAAAAAAACTTGCCTTGTTTCCGTGGTCTATGAATTTTTAATATATCGACGACGGCTGCGGCAAGTCGGCGACAACTACGGGCTGTTGTTCTACTCACATATACAGTAGGTGAAGAACTCCAGGTACACATCACGGCACATGATTGGATTYAAGTAATTTTCGCCAAATATTTCGGGCTGTACAAGCGCTTTTGCAACTATATAACTATATTAAATTGATGAATTTATTTCGGATTAAAATCTAACTTCAGTAGAAAATAAAAGAGATATGCTTTTTAAAAAATTATTTTTCGAAGGTAGTCAAAACTAAAAGGTGTGTTGAAATTGTACGAACTCTTCACCTCTCCTTCATTGTGCACAGTAAAAATGGGGTTCATATGGGTCTATAGTGATTTTTTCTCGAATCAGCTGTCGACCTTCGAAATCTGTAAAAAAGTCATATTTTTTCTTGCGGTTTCACAAATTTCTCACATTGTTTTTGCACCATCATTGACAGCATTTCAGACTACAGCGCTGGCATTCGTTTCCATCTCTCTCTGATGCTCTTATAGAATTTGCTATTACGCAGAAAAGCACTCAAGTTGGTATAGCCACTTTCATTCTTGTTGTCCGATTAAAAGTACAAATCTGAGGGATTTTCATTTTCGTCATTTTCTTCTCTGACATCGTTTTTCCCTTTGCTGTGCCTCACATTTACTTGTTCATGTATTTCTTAACGCTCATGCTTCACTATTTATTTTTATACTCTCGCAAGAAAGTTGCTAAAGAGAGTATTATAGTTTTGTTCACATAACGGTTGTTTGTAAGTCCTAAAACTAAAAGAGTCAGATATAGGG